AAAAATGGTCTAGTTGTAGGTGACTTGGTGTGGATATGGGTGCGGGTGCGAGTCTGAGGGTTGTATATGCGCTTAACCTATACTCATACCCACGACCCATACACATCCTATAATACTTAAATATTCTATAATCAATTTAGCTGGGCCATAATTCTACGGATTAAATTTGGCGAAATACACACTAGCGACTCGCGAATTGATCAATACATTATGACGAAAAAAGTTTATTGGCGAACTTCACACTGGGAATTCGCCAAATTGGCAAATTTCTCCATGACAGTCGCCCATTGGTAAACATACTAAGGCAAAAATAAATATTTTTTGATAAATTTCATACCAGAGATTCACCTATTGGCGAATGTCGTAGGGAAATTCGCCACTAGTGAGTGCACTGTTGGCGAAATTCCGAATAGGTGAACTTACAGAGAGACAACTGAGTGTACGACAAGACCGATAATAAAAAATCTTTTCCAAGATGTGCATGACTACAAAGCTAATAATAGAATCGATAGAGTGACCAATGTCTACGGTGATGGTGAGTAAATGGACACTGCTGGTTACCCTGAGGCTTCATAAATCTGAAAATGCTAGAAACCATTTATCACCGTGGATCTCCGCTCTAGTAACGGGCATTCTAGGACTACATGGTAACCCTTAAAAGTATATGATTTACAGCGATGCATTATCGTATATGAAAGCTTTTTTCCTAAATCAGTATGATAGCGATGCCAGTTTTATGACCGATATTGTCACAGGAACCTACGGTGATGATGGTTGCAAGGGCATTACTGATTACTCTGAGCGTCAATAAGCTTGTCAAATGCTTCAAAGCGGTCATCGCTCTAGGTTCCTGCTCTCTGACCAGCATTTCAAAATTTCATCATGATGTACAAAACTATATATTTGAGTACGCAGCGATACATCATGTGAAAACTTTTTCCAGAGACTGTCTACGACGTTAGTTAGACGACTGATAGATTCACGAAATCATACGATAGTGATAACTAGTTTACCATTACTGGTTCCTCTGGTCTTCAGTGAGTCTGTGAAATATTAGAAGCTATCTGCTACTGAAGGTCTCCGCTCTCCGAACCAACATGATTAGGATTAATGGTAGTGCGTAAAAACACGTAATTTAGATCTGCTCACTATAGCAGATGAAAATTTTCTTCATCGATGAATGTGATAATCATGCCGGTTATGGCACCGATAGAGTGAAGAAAACTTCCGGTGGCGGGCATTAAAAGCGTACTGCTAGTTGTCCTAAGCTTGATGAGTCAATAGAATGTTATAAACCGGCGATCACCGTACATTCCTGATATTTTAACAGCTATTGTTGACCTTAAAAGTGTTTGTTGACGCGGCATACCTAAGTTTTTTGTATAAGCATCTTTCATACTCAGATAGCCTTGCGCTAACGAGTATCAGCTATATGAACATCCTAATGTTATCTGGCGTACGCCTACGGTCCGCATCGTATTGAAGAAGCGATCAGCATACAAAAACATTTTATTAAATTTTGTGAAGTATGCCGATAAATTACAGAAAGTAGACGAATATCAAAATATATGTGCTCTTCTCGATTAAGAGATGGTCAGTTTCACTTTTAATTGGACTCAGTTTCAACTGAGTAGCTTTACTTGTAGTCTATTATGAGCGGTGCTTACGGTGCTCGTAAACCAGTGGAACTGTGAACGGTGCACCGCTACGCCGGTGACCGGTCCACCGGTATCACCGGTTGGTACGGTGCACCGGCGGACCGGTGAAACTGGTGAACGCTGAATCGTAGACCGATCACACCGGTGACCACCGTCACCGTTGCATCCCTACCCACACTCCACCCACACCCACACTCCACCCACACCCACACCCACACCCGCACCCACACCGATACCCCACACCCACACCCACCCTCAAGTTTGAAAAATTCTTCTTCGAAAGACGAAACATTACTTAAACTATAATCAATAAATCTGTGGAAGAGTATTAAAATTATACCACAGCTACCAATAACTTTTCTGTTAAGAGGTAAAAACGTGATAAGTGTGACAAAGTGATTCTATTCATATGAGATAATATAAGTTCTAGTTTCAAATGTTAAATATATTGATCGATGCAGTGAACATTTTTTGCAATACTGAAGTAAACATTCTTCAGATTCAAACTACTGACCTGGCTTCGCAGATTTCTAACTCTTTGGCTCTGATCCTGATTTCAATCCCATGATTCCGAAACAAAGAGTACTTTTGAAAAAGTTTGACTTCTAGCCTATAGATATGAACAAAGAAAATCGTTATTTTTCGTGGCGAACATCTTTGACAGTTGGTCCCGGTCTCACTTTTCTCTAGTCTCATACGATAGTAATGTTAGCATCTTGCACAATGCTTTTGACTTAATCTCATTTTCTCCAAGATATCAATTTGGTCAGTTGGGATGGCCAAACAGCACTTCATATCGCAGCTCGCTTGCCGGATATCAAGTATCCTGAGCACCCTGTAAGTAATGATGACTACAGTGTTTATTTTAAACCGATGCTCGTTGAAATTTTCTTTTTCTTTTAATAAGTCTTCAATTATGGAATATTTGCTAAATCACCCAGAAATCAAGATAAATATTCAAGACAGCCATGGGCAAACACCATTACATTTCGCTGTCATCTATAACTGCATAGGGAATGCCAAGTATCTGATAGAAAATGGTGCCTACCTCGATGTATGTTCTCCTCTCAAGATCGCTTTCTGTCTAGTGTTACCAACAAGTAGTTATATTCTAAATGTTTTCTTTTAGATTCCCGATATTTATGGTGCCATTCCGCTCCATTATGCTTGCCGATTTCGTGATAACGACAATATGATTGGTTTGTTCTTGAATTTTCCACAATTATTCAATCGTGAAACGCATGATAAGAAGGAGCCTATTCACATTGTGATCGAGTACAATGATCCAAAGGTTATCAAACATTTTTTTGACCTCAGAAACATTCGAGACATTGACGATAGAACAGATGTCATTATTTTAGAGAAAGTCGCCGCTCTCAGTCCTGAAAACAAAGTTTTGTCCTTGCTGAAACAACAATACGAGGAAGCAATCAATCATGATCATAGTAGACTTTCTTTTGCTTGCCGCCAATTGCACGGTCTTAAAACAGTTTCTCATCTGATCAATCCGTATAGTATTATGCATCGTGACAAGCAGACTGGCTTAAGTCCATTAATGATCGCTGTCCAGCATTGCCAACTTGAATGCGTCAAAGAGCTTCTGAACAACAAATATTTTACACAGAAAGCATTTGAGTTAGCGAGTAACGTCTCGTTTCGCACAGTATTACATATTTGTACAAAAGTTCATGATAAAGAGATCACCAAAGCATTATTTAACCCTAGGAACCCCAAGCCTTTTCCAGCGATTTACTAGTAGTATATAGTTTTCTATCATGATTGTTTTCTTGTTGCATCAGTGTTTTGATGTAAATATGATATTGGCATACGCAGTTTGAATAAAATAACTGTCAGAACGACTATTTCTTTTTATTTCGAACAAGTAATACAAAAGATACGTTTTACAGAATGCTCGTTACAAACAAACTCTGAACATTTACAGCATTGATTAGACGTTTTCTTATCCTTAGAAAAATGGCAAAATGCGCATCGTTTTCGTTTGGATTGTGTAGAATTTTTATTTGCTTCTTGTAATTCTTGCTCTATCACAGGATAACCAAACAAGGCTAACGCATTTCGAATATCTTTGTGTAAATTTGTCGAAGTTTTTGAACGATAATCCAGAAGTGGTGAGACTAAACTCATTCCAAGTTCTTCAAGGAATAAACGACGTTTATATCCTTTATTCTGATTCCAGTCGGGATTTTTTTCTTTCCATATAATCAATGCGTTGATGCCAGCAATATCGATCATTCAATAAAATATGCAAAGTGGCCATCGTCTTGTAGCTCTTTTTACGGTATATTTATGACACATTTGATCAACAGTATCAACCGCTCCTTTTGTTTTATTGTAATCCACAATAATATTCGGTTTTCTGGTTTCCCTGTCGACGATACTATCATGATGCTTCGAGGATAATAGTAAGACGGCTTGATTTTGTTTGGGAACAAATGAAACTAATGTCAATTAATCGTGGAAAGCAAAAAGCGAAGAACCAACTTCGCGGCTTTTATCTGACTGAAACTCAATCGGAATTTTAGGTTTATTTTTACGTAATGTTCCTATAACATTAATTTTTTTCGCTTGAAGTTCTTTAGCCAGTTGAACACTAGTGAAAAAGTTGTCAAATGTGACAGTTCTGTTCGAGTCGTATAATGGTTTTAGCAAGTCTAAAACTACATTGAAACCGACTTGTTTCTATCGTTTTTGATCGGGTTGTCGTCCAATATAAGGAAATACATTAAAAACGTAAAACGAATTTGAATCAACACATAACCAAAATTTCAAACCATATTTGTCAGGTTTTTTCGGGATAAATTGGCGAAAAGGACATTATCCGTGGAAGCCTAAAAGTTGTTCGTCGATAGTAATAAAAGATCCTGGTACATAGCATGTTCTTATATTATTTTGAAAATCTGTCCAAATTTCACGGATTGATGCAAACTTATCGGTTCTTCTTCTTTCTTCTCTGGTTGTCTTATCATCGAATCTGATACAAGAAATAATTTGTTGAAATCGACTTCTAGACATTGCAGCTCTGAAAATTGGAGATTCTAAAGGACTTCTGTTCCATAATGATTTAATACTTTTCTTTGATTGTCCTAATAAACCGGCAAGTAACAAAAGACCAATACAAGTTTTCGATTCAATCATAGTAATATCATCGATGTTATCATCCGTGTTTTTTCGAGTTCGTTCAGTATTTGAATAAATCAAAATCTTCTGTAAAATATTATCCGATATAAAACATTGAAATGCATCAGCAACAGATATTACATCTTGAGTGAGCTCTGTTGGTCCAGTTTTCATAGTTGCAGTATCAGTAGAGTAAGTTTTCGTTTAATAAGATGAAATCGAGGAGCAGGTCATTCCAGAACTTGAACTGTAGAAAGTACTTTGTGTATAACCTTTCTTCGATGTAACATCATCTAGATCAATTTCATCTTCATATTCTGATGTTTCACTATCATCATGTTCTATTTCTGAACTGCTTTCTTTATCACCAAGTTCATCATCTTCACTTTCATCTTCAAACATACTATCTTCCATAATTGTACTTTGCGAACGAACTTATTCAGATTGCACGAGAGAAACAGTTATAATCTATAAGTAGAAAATAAATAAAGGAGCACTAGGCGAAATAATATTATCCTACAATGAGATATTGATATACGAAATAGAACTTGAAGGAGACTGTCCGTTTTTTTATCAATAAAAGTCTTTATACGATATCACGTTCTTGTCAAGCAGCAAATATATAATAAAAAAAATGAAATTCAATTCTATATCTGAACTTCCATGAATCATCTTGTATTCTAATTGGGTAGATCCGATCCATTCTAGTTAAGCGTTTTATCTATGGATTGAGATTATCCAATTAAGAAAGAAGATGATTCATTGAAGTCCTGGTATAGAACTGAATTCTCCTTTTGTTCTTGTTGTACATTTGCTACATGTCAAAGATATATGATTATATCAATGGCCTGTAATGAACAAAAAGAGCAGTTAGTTCCTTTTTATACTCGACATTATCATATAAATTGTGAAAATTCTAGACGTTTTCAAAAATTAAAAAAACGATAAAATATCTCCGTTGCATTTTCAGGTTTTTTTGTGGGTCAAAAATGACCCACTTGGGGGTTCTAGGGTTAAACACATAAAAAGGGCAAAAAGTGGTCGTTTTTCGCTGATAGTCGGGAACCGCGATTGTGAGCCGAGCACGTCCACTTTTTATGGATTTTAAGCCCTTTTTTATGCGTTTAAACGCGTTTTTGAAAATGTTTGTCTGCTTGGGCAAGCGAAATACACAAGACAAAGTCACAATTGTGTTCTTCGCTTCGATATATATTCTACTTTTTCGTTGTTTTAAAAAGCTCATTCATATAATGATGCATTGGATGAATATATTAATGCATATATAAAGCATTTAGCAAGGATATTAAAAAAAAAAGAAAATCAATATTATTGCATGACGCTCTCTCAAAATTTGCGATATTTATTTTTCAATATTTTTTTTGCTCGACATTTTCCTCTTCGCTCTTTTTACATCCAACAAATATAACAACTAGTAAATATACTATTAAATATTGATTCTTTGACCTATCACAATTTTCAAAATGAATGTAAGAATGCGCTATATGAAAGTTTCGGCCTATCATACCACTCTATCATAGTCTAAAATGTTTCAGACAAAGTCACATTTCGTCCTCAGCCATTTTTAACAAGTTATATATTAACATGCAGATATGCGTGAATGCTTTATTTGTCAAACGATTTATTTACTCCAATGTTTGTTCGGTAATGGGTGTTTTAGCAGCTATAGTATAGGAAAGTTTGTAAATAACGATTGAAAGACTGTAATAGATCATATCCGATCAATGTAACATTTTAAAAACAAAAAATAGAACTGTTTCATTTAAAAATGATTTATTTCGCAGAGAGAGAATCAAATCGTACTACCAGCTTATAATTAACACGTATTTCATAAACCATAAAAACAACCTCAAAGTATGAAACGAATTAATAAATGCATGTGCACCTTTTCAAAAGAGTCAAAATGTCATCTCGTCGTGTTTTAATATTCGTATAATCACTTTGTCTCTCTTTCCCAACAACCACATCGATCAAACTCTTTGATATGTTCGACTGGATCTCTATAAAGAAATCGATTAGCGTTTCCAAATTGTGTAAAAATTTCAAGTTTTACATAATACCGAGAACTAATTTTATCTGTAAGAGAAGTTATACTGTGTTCGCTGAAAAGGCAAAACTGATAGCATAAAGCAAAACCATCAGATTTATTTGTTGATATAACCCTAATTTTATTGATTGTTCAAAGATTCACAAAACTTGAAAGTTTTCTATAATTTGGAAAATATTTCTTGAGTTTTGTAGTTGATACTTCATAAAATATTTCATCTTTAATATAGGTTCAAGGCAACTTTTACCTAGAAAAAAGTCTAAGACTTTTTTGTAATTAAATTTACTCTAATTTATCATAACAGAAAAATGGATTATTTTGCTGCAAAAAAGAATCGAACAATGATTTATTTTCTATGGGTGATACTGCCATACACTATCAAAAGTATAACTACCAATATTTCAACTTGTCCTAATCAACAATGGATTGAAGAATCTCTCAAGAAAGGTCATGTTCCAGGTGCAGCAATTGTTGTAGTAAATGCTACTCATATAATCTATCAACAAGCCTTTGGCTATCAGTCTCTGTCACCACAACAGCCTATGGATGTTAACAAATCTATTTTCCCTCTTGCTTCGATCTCGAAAACATTCATTGCTGCTGCTGTTATGCAACTTGTTGAGCAAGAACTGGTCGATCTTGATACCGATGTTAACATATATCTATCAGAACCTAACAAACGTATTTTCCATCCACATTATCCAAAGCATTCAATTACTTTACGCAAATTACTCTCACATTCGGCTTCGATTTACATCAGTGATCTAGTACAGTATACCTATTTTCAACCCAATGATGATGCATTTAATGAATCTTTAGCTGACATGTGTTTCAAATATGTGAATCCGAATACATCGAATTGGTTGCCAAAACCACCAGGTACCATGACATCATATTCTAATGAAGGCCCAACACTAGCTGCATTAGTTGTTGAACGAGTTTCAAATATGTCTTACATCGATTATGTCAAAGACAAAATAATTAAACCATTGGATATCGATATCAACAAAGTTGGCGTACGACTGTCTGATTTTGCAAATATCGAAGATCTTGTAAAGCATTATATCTATGCAACTAATATGTCTTATGTCAGCGAATTGAATCATCTATTTCCACAATTGAATATTACACAAATACAGGTAAATTCGTGTACATAATCAATAGATGTTACTTTGTTTAATTGCTGTTCAGAATGACTTTCCTTCTTGGGTTTATATTTCACATTTTGGTTTGAGCGCCTATCCAGCTGGTCTCTTACGAATGTCGGCTGGTACCCTATCCATATATCTTCGTATGTTTCTCAGCAATGGATTTCCTATTCTTCGTCCGCAATCTATTGCTGAAATACGAACCGTGGTAGGTGGTTGTCTCATACCACCATATAATCCAGAGTGGAGTAATAATTCTACGGAATTACCACCATCCGAAGAATTTGGTCTTAGTTGGTATTGGCAAACGATGAAAGATGGTCGTCGATATATTGGTCATAGTGGTTCACTGCCAGGCATGTCACACTTGATGCTGGTCAATGAAAAGAATACTTTAGGTGTAATTCTTCTTTCGAATATAGATATCGGTTTAACAGAATATCCGTTACCTGAAATGAGTGGGTTGGCGGAAAATATTCACATGTTACTTTTTCAGTGTTTCGATATCGATCTTGTTGACATGCCTGCTAGTTGTACAGAAAGAACTCGCATTAGATTCTTTACTGTTCTTCTGCTTCTCCAATACTTTTTTATATGTTTAGTATTCATCACCATCTAGCATTGAAATAATTTTTTGATCTTATAACTTTCATTGAGAAAATATACATGGCTAGTATTATCATACGAATCAATTAAGAGATTTTCACACAAAATATGTTTTGAATTGAAAGAAATATGATTCATCTGTTATTTGAAGTGTGCCATTCGAAAAATTATAAGAAGAAGCAAAAAAGAAACGAATAGATGAGACAGTAGAGCTACACGTGTTATTACCAATCAAAGAAAACACTTTTGATTTGCAGTTTATTTGTTATAACTAGATCTAGATAGAACCGTACTTTAAGCAAGGTACCTATAAAATACGATCGATGACTCGATATGTGACAGCAGGACCTCTGACAAAACTAAGTTTTGTCAAAACATAACAGCGTCATGTAGAGTGTGGGTGCGGATATGGGTGTGAGCGTGAGTGTGGATGTAGATTTAGCGAAGATATATATCCACACCTAAACCCGACCAAATGAAAGGTTGCCATTCTTTTTTAATTGCCTTTTGTGTCGCCAATATTTTCATCAAGTCAAACAATCATCAACTTGCTTCTTTCCCTTGTTGAGCACATCTTGGTATTGAAGTGTCAATCTTGGAAGAGTGTAGAATGACAGCGGTTTTTTAATTTTTTTTCAGTCGTTTGTGGCAGAAAAAATCTATTACTCGATGCACGCTACACAATGACGAATACTTGAGGGCCTGGGTGGGAGCTGTGGTTCTCAGATACCGTTTTCATCGTCCACACCTATCTAAACTCGAACCCACTCACTCATACCAACACTCAAACCTAAACTAACATACACAACCACACTCATCTACTTTCCAAATCTGATATTCATGATAGTGCTTCTAGCGTCAAGAGACATTCATTCACACTCTTGTTTTTCATTACTATATTTGTTGGCAGGATCGAATGCAATATGCATATAAAAGTAAAAGACCTCTGTTCCGTCTTACATTTCTTTGTCGCTGATTTCTCGTTTCAGAAGTTTTGTAGCAGTGATCTCGGTGCTTCGGCCGTTTACTATGGTCTGTTTCGAAATTTTCTCTTCGAACAACAAGATACCTGTTTTAGTATCAGTTTCCATCGTTGTCCAAGAGTGAAGTGGTACTGTACTATCAAGTATGTTGAGTGTACCACTCATCTCGATATCGAACTTGATCACTTCAGTCTCATATTCTTCACTTTCTTAGATGCGAGTCACAGTCCAGCGATTTACAAAATTCTTCAGTTTTTCGTTGATCCAGATGTCACCGATAGAGAAATGTTTCAGTGGCATGTTAATTTTTGGGTTAAAATCTTCTCGTGTTTTCGAGGAAAGGATCCGATGTTGTGTTCGTTCTTCTGGCGGACTGAAGTATGCATGTGTATAAATCTTTTCAATTTCAGCACTGACGTTATTCGTTACATCCTCAAGTTTGACGACACGGATTGTGTATATTGTTTCTTGTTGTTTAATTTCCTTTACTTCCGTCAAAATGTCAACAGTTGTCTTTGTTTTATTTTCCGCTTAAGTGAATCTGTTGTCCAATGAATATCGATTTCAGACTCGTAGTGATGCAACAACATGAATGAGTGAGAGAAAAGCAACTAAAAACAGTGGATCTGTGAGGCAACGAGCCATGCTTATGATTATGCGCGAACGAAAGAATGAAAATGTAACAATGCGTTCGTTGTTCTCTTTTGCTTACTTCTTTTATAGATTTGCTGTTGTGAAACTGAGTCATTGTTGGTTTCGATAACTATCAAAACTAAATAAACACTGTCGGAAACAGCCATCTTATGGAAAGGGGGTGGATGTGGATGCGTGTGGGTATGGGATGCGGATGCGGGTGTGGGTGTGGGTAGGTTGCTGAGTGTGAGTGTGGATGAGAGTATAAGGGTGTGGGTGTGGGTGTCGGTTAAGAAAAGAACTGCACCCACACCCACGCCCGATCTGTCTGTGAAAAGTGATTATTTCTTGAAAATTCAATATCTCGAGAAAAAAACATTCGTTTTGGTTGAAACTTTCAGGCGATTCTAATGACTGGTAGACCTATCTACGGGCAAAATTTCAGATAGAAATTCTTGAATTTGATTTTTTCGGAAATCTCTTGCCACAAACCCAAAATTCAGTAAAACGGCCATAACTTCCTAACAGTAAAAGTTAGAAATCTGGGGTTGGTGGCAACTAGTAGACAATCGTGTGCCTTACCAAACATATGCCAGAAAAATCCAATGCCAAACGGATTTTCATCGCTTAGATGAATTGCTAAAATTTCACAGATAGGCAAGCCCGAGACTCGGTGTGATGTCGCTTTTTTCATATTTCCATATAAAGTTGATGCCGTTCTTTCCAAAACTGAAAACCGCAGGTCTCTAGCTATTTCCTAGCCAGAGTTATTCAATTTACAACAGAGTGCACTGTTCATTGAAATGGATAGTAATTTACCATCTAAAATTATGGAGAAAAGATTGTTAGCGCAACGTCTTTGGTGCTGAAATGCAGAACTTACGTATGCTCTCCAACCTTATTTAACTAAAAACAATATATAAAAGAAAAAATCTCTGATAGGCTCTACTTGTTCTCTGCAATAAGCAATGTGTAGAGTATTGATCCATCAAATATCTGTATTTCTAAAGGTATTTTTTAGATCTTTTCTATGGTGCCCTAATTTTTTGTTTTCATTGCTGCTAGCCTTGCACAATTTTTCTTTTCATATTCTATTTCTCGTGTTTTAACTTTATTATTTTTCTAATCATTGATTTGGCTCACATTTATGACTGTTGTGAACGTCAATTTTATTTCAAACTGTTATCGATAGACAAGTACATATCTTGATCAATTCAAAATCACTAATATTGCTTAGACTGAAATTAAACTTATTATTTAATTCACTTTTATCTTTTCACTGATTATTTGACAACTATCACAAACCGACCTATAGCTTCTGATTGTTATTGATAGATTAAACTTCAACGTATTTAAAAAAGTCGAAAAAAGAACTTCAACTATCGAACTGCCAATAGTGGAAACTAATCTTAACATAAAATTACACTCATTATTTTCTTCGAAAATAAATGCGAGTTATAAATATAGGCTTCTAACCCTTATGCTAACCTCAATGGAGAATAAAGAAAAGCTCATTCAGAATTGCTATTTTGTTGAAGTTTTAGTCGAACAGAAAAATGCTTTATTGGAAAATTCTCATATGTAAGCAGACGAGATAAAAATGTACATGGAAATATATTCGACAGACACTGAAGCAGATTCATAGAATATCGAACCACAAAAAAACGTAGTTCTACAATCTGATTAATTATTTTAGAAATTACACAGAAAATTGTACAGTATCGCGTCAAGCACTGTTGTTGAGATGCTTTCGTGTATTAACAATATGATTATTTAAATCATCGAGAGTTTGTTGGTCAATCGATTGCATATTAGGTTGTATAAGTTGAGCAGCTCGTTCATAGCTTTGCAAGGCTAATAAATAATTGCCAGTCTTATAATAACAATCGCCAATGGCATTATGGATTGGTATCAGATCAGGATGATCCGAAGGCAAACAGCTTAAGCTAGCTTTTAGAGCTTGTTGATAATGTCCAAGCGCTTTATCGAATTCGTTTTTCAGTATAAAAACAGAGCCGAGAGCAGTTTGTATGCGACAGTTTCGACGTGGTTGATTGAGAACTGATGGATCGAGAAGTATTTGAAGATAAAATTGTTCAGCACGATCAAAATCACCCATCTCGACTAGTAGTTTACCAGCATAGGCAAGGGGATTTGTTTGAATGTCATTATTGCGTAATGGCTCAACAAGATGAAAAAGTTGCGAATCACTATCATCCACAAGAATCAATTTAACTTGCCACATTTCAATAGAAAATTCATTGACTGGCTCTGTAGATTGGATCCTAAAGACAGTACCAATTGTAAAGCATATATCACCTTTCTTTGAATGATCTTCATGATCGCTATTTTCAAGTAAAGCAAATGGACTGATCACATGTTTCGTTCTATCGATATAGATTTCGAAGAGTATGGCTATTCGTTGGGGATTAACAGTAATTAAACGATGTAGCAAGTCAATAGCTACATTCTTGTTCTTGTTAGCCATAATAAAACATGAAAATGAGAGTAAACCACCGGAACTATTTCTCAGCAAAGCATCAAATTCATGCTGTAACATTGTCTTTCCGCGATAGAAAGTCCAAGATGTTTCTTTTGATAAAGAATCGTTATGATCAGAAAAGTGAGCGAGTTGTACATGAATATGTTTTATTATAAAGCTTATTTTGTATTGAAGATCAATTTCTAATGTATGTTGTATACGGTTAAGTATACGTGATACGAATGTGGTTCGAGTTAACCAATAGAGAGCTTTTTGTGGTCGATAGGTTCTATCGAAGTCATCGATTTCACACAGTTGTTCATCATTGTCCGCATAGTGTTCTCGACAAAACTCGACGAATCTATCTTTTGCATCATTTTCAAATTTGTAGCGAATTACAACATCTCTCATATATTGTACAAGTAGAAATGATGCTTTACATTTCAGTGCAACTTCATCCGACCATAATGGAAGAACTGTCCTGATAACGACATAATCAAGTTCAAAAAGTTCTCTATCTTCACGTAGTTGATTGCATAGATCAGTCGTATTTCGAAAGATATTCGGTTGTACGATAGGATCATATATGTTATTTAGCATCTGAATCTTTGGATCGAAGACATAGACTTTCAAAATTTGTGATAAATGATGAATACGATCAATAAATTGTTTGTATTCAGGAGAGATTATTAGAAAGATTTTCTCAACATGAATATAATTAATAAAAGTAAAGCATGCATCCGAATCGGTAAATATTCGTAAGACAGATATAACATGACGCAATTGTTTGAGAAGATTTTCTTCTTCAATTGATGACTCGTCAGCAAGCAAAACAATTAAACAATTTTCGACGAAACGTGTTGTATGTGATTGATTCAATTTATCGTTGGAAACTTTTAATCGTTGTGGATGTGCAGTATTCGACTGAGTGTTCGATGACGCAAATATCGACGGTTTACACCCCATTGAAGTGAAGTAATCTTCAACAAATGATAAGATTTTATTAAAAACTTTCAAACATTATTATATTCTTCTATATTTGCTGCAGACTATGATAGAAGAAAAGAAATTATACATGATGGTCAACGTTTGTACAGCTTGTTGATATTCACTTGAAATACTTTTATCTATTATTATGGGCTCATTTCTGTTTTTATAACTCATGTCTGGAGTATTAGTTTAGCCTAGAATTCATTCATGTGTTTATTTAATGATAAATATTGCAATTCGTAAGCATTGAAGCACGTGGAAGAACGCTTCAATGTTTAAACATAATTTCTGTTTTCCACATATCTATAACTAAGGTGAAAATAGATTTACCTATCGAATTTATTTTTCAACAGACATTCGATTTGATTGATGAGTACTATTTGAAATATGTCAAAAATGATGTTATTTCGTCGAAGTTGAACTCTTTATAGACGATAACTCGAATAATTTTCTTTGCATTTCTAGTAGATTGCCATCGCTTCTAAGAAAATTAGAAACGACACAATGTCAGTAATTCTTACCGTATCGTTAACTCTCATACTCATCTTGTAAAACAAACATGATGTGACATGTGCAGAGGTGAGAATAATATTTAATAAGGATTTTATCTATGTTTATAATTAAACTATTGTAAACAAGTTGTCACCCCCTGTCATAGTTGTGAAATGAAATAACTTGAGTTTCACTCGTCTGACTCTATTCAATTACTAATTCCTGAAATTCATCGAATCTCATAATCAGATTGGTATTGTTCTTGACTATGAGTTAAGAGTCTTGTTCAGGAGATTTGGTTTTCATTTGTTTTTGTAAGATTGGTATGAATAGAATCTTAATTTATAAGTGAAAAAAAAAGTATCTTCTCATTAATTATGCATCGATAAGACTATGTTCTTGTGCTTCGTTCAACTTTATTCTTTGAAAATTTTTACAAGAAAGGACAAAAAAGTTAAGAAGATCCCGGAAAAAAAACGATTACAGAATTTTTTCCTATATTTCTAATAGAAACACATGCATGCCATTAAGCAGCGAACAGTGCAAGAAAATAGTTACTTTTCATACAGTTTCCTATTTCTACGTGCAGTAGAATATTATTCACATGAGGAGGTAGAGAAAAACTGAGTATACACATTAAATTTAAACGCCTCGTGATTTATTGTGTTGTGCGCTCCAGCAAAAAAAAGTGTTGTGTCTTGAATGTGTCGTATATGAATTTGTCGCGTTCTGTCTGTCGGTTATTCATTCACTGTTTTGTTATGCACATATAGTGATATATAAACAACGCGGTTGAACATAAGAAAGATAAATTTTCAAAACATTCTTATTTTCTAGACTATTTTTTTTTATTATGCAACATCACTGCGATCAATGAGATCCTTTCAGTGCAGAATATAGAGGGAAATGATAAATGAATGCATAAATAAATAAATAACACAACAACAGAAGAGAAAAATAAAAAAAAACGAGGAATAAATATAAATGTAAGAGTAGATGAGCACCAGACAATAAAAGAAAGAAGATACCGAACCAGGAGCAAAAAGAGAAAAGAAAAAGAAAAAAAACAACCCGAAAAAGAAAGAAAGCGTAGACAGATCCATAAATAACAAGGAATATCAAGAATCCATACTGAACGCAACATACAGACACATCGTCGTAGGGTGTGGGTGGGTGTGGGTGGTGTGAGTGTGGGTATGTGGGCGGGTGTGGGTGTGGGTGTGTGGTGTGGGCGTGAGTGTGTGGTGTGGGTGTGGGTGTGGGTGTGGGTGTGGATGGGTGTGGATATGAATTAAGAAGAGATCAACACCCAGCCACATCCACACTCACACTCACACGCCTACACCTACAACCCACAGTCAATCATGGCGGTTGATGTGATTTCTACCTTAATCGTTTCCAATATTGGTAGCGTCCTGGCGCCAAGCGTATAACATTGAAAATATTTTCTTTTGCAGCTCTAATATTCTTAATAATTTACTCACTATTATTCAGTTATTAAACACATGTTGCTCTTTGTAATTTAAATTATCTGTTTAAGTTGATACGATTTCTTTTGTGTCTTACACCGTTTGTCTGTTTTTTTTCGAATGACTTGTATCTTACTATTGCACCATGTCAATCCTTTATCTTCGGTTGTTATCTGTGGTTGCCTCCCTTTTTCTGTTTCCTTTTGAAATCCTATCAGGGTGTGGAGTGGGGGTGTGCGCGGACGTGTAAACAAACGTCCACCTCCGTACAATATGTTCAAGTTTTATGAATGTCATTCTCAAAGAAGGAATACAAAATTGTAGTCTGTTTGCAGATTATTGTTCAGAATTGCCACATTTACCCCACACAAATTTTATATCTATATTTCAAGATTTCACCGAAACCATTATAGTTGATTTTGAGAATTATGATATAACAGTAGGAACAATTGTTGGTTCTAAGATTAATGTTACTTATATGATATTATGTTCTGTTTATGTGAAAGTGTATCGATCGGCAATGCTGATCTTGGAACCAATGGAAAGTTTGGTCGGCCGCTATACTATTCATTTGCAGAATACTCTGAATGGATGAATTCTAAGATTTAGTAAGGGTCATCCAAAAGGTGAACTTATCTTTTATGATGATAGATTTAGCAATTCTTTTGTGGTACAGGTCCTTCCCACTCTTAGCAAATGAGTTTTTAAGACAGGTTCATTAGAGTATATACTTTCTGTAGAAACAGTAGCCTTACCATTGTTACGCCCAATAATTGAGCTAGAAGTTCTAGTGAATGATATTAACGCATAAGTTTTAATTGATAATATTGTTATAGAAAACTAAATTGAGTTGATTTTTTAACAAAGTACAATTCGATAGATCTAACATTTGAATATGTCGACTGTTATCTTGTACTGCGTAATATATTTAGCTTATTTTTCAAAAACACAAGAAATTCTATTGTGCTGACAGCATAAGAAACAATCACTTGGACATATATTTGTAGCGGGTGTGAACGGGTGACAAAAAAATAACAAAACTCACAGTCACACTCACTTTGACTATATGATCAGCTTTATCAATATGTGCTAAAATGCCTGTATGTAATCGTTCAAAACGATTACAGATAATCTTATTATTAAAATACTTAACCTAAAAAAAAGAATTTTTATAAAATAACAGGAAATGACTAATACTTGCTGGTACAGATAGTTTGGGGCTGAAATTTAGATCTCACGTAAGTTATTTTGTTTCATAAAACTAATACAAAACACATAGTGAAATATTTCCTATGGACTAGAGTTGATTTCCAAAAATATCGACTGCTAAAGTAAGAATCTATTTGATCTATTGCTGCTTTTTGAACAGAATTTTTGTCTGTTTTGCTTTAATTTTCGCCCTCTTATTCTGTTCGTTACTTTTTCATTTATTTTTCTTAACTTTACATCATTGCTATTCTGAATATTGGCCCAACTATTATAGAAGTTCGTTGTACGTATTTGTTACATCTACAGTACATCTAAATACTTTATTACATATCTTGAAAGGTTTAGAAACATCAATATTGATTGTTTTCCAATTTTTTATAACTTTATCAATTTAAGATTTTTATGTTGTTGATATGATCACTGAGGTAAATCAATACATCACTGCCCATCATCCTTATCATCTTGAATATGAAATTTTACTTGCACAAAAATAAAAAAAAACAGTAATATTTCGAACAGTCATTAACATATTCTAGCCTTTCTAGTTTAGAAGAAGGTTTTGTAATATTTGAGGATTCAATAGAACAGTATCAGTCTTCTTGTCCATGCCGATCAGCTCCTTTTTTATGTTGGTAAAGAATAGTCTTCTGTGATTGACGTCTATAATCGAAGCCTAGGAAAAAGAGAGAACCTCAAAATGCTCGATTTATACTACCATTGACTATCTTTTTAAAATATATATATATGTGAATTCTAGAAAAACTAATCAAAATTGAGAAAAGAATTCTAAGTTATAACTCAAAGGATCAAAATATCAATCATTGGAAACTGAAAACTTCGTCTATTAAAATCCATCGAAAATTATCGTGAATAGACTATTCGAGGATATCGAAGTACTATATCAATTTCATCAGAATGACACTTTCTAATAAATCGAGAAACCAACAATGAATGAACAATTGTGAACTCTATAAAGACTATCGAACATCCAAGATCAACGCCTTGAAATACTCATAAACTTGTAGGTTAGGTAGATTCATCTCCTACGAAAATAATATAATCTCTGGTGCAACCATTTCCTTGAATTATAACACAATTGCAATGTTCATTGGTTTGCTTAATATTTTCTTTTGTTTCAGTCAAAAGAAAATAAATTCGATTATTTCAATAATCACTCAATAAATGCAATCAAAAGCATAAATGTTCAAGTAGAACATAATGATAAACGATCGGCAAAGATCAAAATTCATCCAACGAAAGATTATCCAGTAATTTCGACGTTCATTTACGTCCAGATCTAAATAGAAAAATCTTGTTCTTTTTTTCTATTGAAATTTTATTTAAATTAGTTAATAGACAAAAATCTAGATGAACATGAATCAACTAAAAGCCATTGTCGAAAGTATGCAAATGGAACTGTAGGGTTAATATCTTATTTTT